ATTGTCGGAAAAGTTAAAAAACATTTCTCAAAAGCGTCAAAAATGGCGATTAATAAACTTTTTTTAATATATGTTTGGTAGATGTAAGCTGTTTTTTCTGCGGTCTGAAGAATTTTTTTTTTTTTGTTTGTTTTTCAAACCATTTTAACTATTTAGTTTTAATTAAATGAATGTTGGTTTTTTATTTGTGTTGATGATTTTTATGATGATGACTCCAATAAGGGGGTCTCCAGGGAGATTTCTGCCCCGGGCCTCGATTAGCTGTAAGTCTTGCCGCTGCCTAAGGCCTCATATTGGCTTAATCAAGTCATGGCCACGTGCTAAGGCGGAATAACTTAAGAAATAAATTTTTATTCTGAATTAAATTAGATAATGTTTGTTCAACAAACAGTTGCTGTTTTTCCTCCCACGTGAATGATACATTCGGTAATATCATTGCAGCCTTAATTTACTAACAGAAACCAGTATTTGAAAAAGAATCTTACAGGCCATAAATCAGTCAACACGTGCAATCTCTTCTTCAAGTTGAGTTCCTATGTCTGGGTGTAACTTAGTATTCTTGCGATAAAGTGTGGGTGTGACAAGCCTGGATCAACACAATCCGTGGTCCACGCCTTCTTTTTTATTTAGTTATTTTTTCGTATTATGTGTCCTTCTCCACGGATGGTGAAATTTATTAGAAAAATGACCAACATATGGGTGGACAGGTCTCAATTTTCGAAAGGCACACGCCCGCGTGCTTTTAAAGAATTGTACACAAAAGAAGAGAAAGGAACGATGAGAATGGAATGGTAAACGACCTTGCGTAAGGTCGACTTTTTTATTATTATTGCTTCTGACCTGCCCACTTCGCCTCGCAGGAAATGGATGGTATTTGCTGAAAGTGGAACCTCTCCTACTTTTCCGTTTGTAATTTCATTTTTTTAGTTGTTTTATTGTACTTTTTTTCCAACTATTTTTATAAGCCAGCAGCTTAGTTTATTTACTAAACTTTCATCTACTTTTCTTTTCTTTTTTTTTTTTTTTTTTATTTCACGCTCGATCATTTTTATTTTCATATGTCATGGATGTTTGGATACTTTTCCCGCTGTATTTAGAACCTGTGCCATTAATTTATAAATAGCTGCTAAACAATGTCATTGCAATACGTTTTGTGTAATTATTTCAAAATTAAATATGGATTCGTGTTTGAGAAACATAAATAGAAATTAATCATGATAAACGGAATAACACCAAATGATAAATGGTTATATAATTAATACCAATTTCATTATTTTCATCAATGAAAGATCTGTACATCTATAATTGGCGAACAGCCCCCCCCCAACATCTCTGAAAAAACTCCCTTGACCATATGTATCGTAAACAATTTTCTTCCATTAAAATTGTTATACCGTATTTCATCACATATTTTATTATCGCTCGGAAATCGAGAGGAAAAAATTACGTGAATAATTTAAATTCCGAAATACGCGGTTGCAGTAAGCAGCAAAGATAAATTACAAGTACATTCTTTTTTAAGCCCAAATGGGCGCTAGCCTAGAAGGGCTATTAGTTTCAACGGAGTCTTGCGTTAAATCACTTTTCAACTTGTTGCCACCAAATATTGTCACTCTATATTATATTTAAAGAAACAAATAATGAAGAATCTACATGAATGTATGTATATTTCACGCATTGTGTAATAACAATGGTACCTAGAGTCATTAAATTTTGAATAAAATAGACCTCCACCTAAACATCGGCACCTGGAAGCCCAAATTTGGAATTTCAAATTTATTTCATTGCCTATTTTATATTTTGTAAAACTTTAAAGAATTTTTGATTAACAGACTCAACGATTGCAAAGCAAACAGTGGCAACACTGTAAGGAATAAAATATTTTTATCTCCAGCGCGCGAGACTGTCTATCGGAAATTCTAAAGATGGGCTATTTTCATTTATTTTTAGTCCAATATAGCATTATTAGCCCAAATGCGCTCGAAATGCGCTGTAAATGGATGGGGGGGGGGAACGCGCGTTTGGGCATAATATAAACTATGAAAGCTTTCAGACTTTTTTTTTTTTAATTCAAATAATTTTCATTTAAAATTCATTCCGAAAAGTTTCAATCTTGTGCTTATTAAAATCGTACGTGCTAGAATGCAATGTGATTTACAGTACAATAAGCTCGATATTGATATTTGGTACCTTACTATTGAAAACCGGAATAATTATTGGTCTAACGGATAGTTTCGATATAGATTTGGGCTTAAGCACGGAATTAATTATGCAGTAAATTAAGCATGGTTGACTAGGACCATCCAAATGGAATTTCCGTTGGGAAATTTTCCAAGAAAATACCTGGAATTCATTGCAAATATTGAAGCATTATTATTCAAAGGAATTCATTAAATATTTACTCAAAGTGTAACGAGTTGCTAGAAGTGCCAGTTCTGTCAGCTTTTGATCATACTTCCATCAATTTACAACATATTTCTCATGGCTGTTTTTTATTCTAAACATTTGTTATGATAATTATGCATCTTAAAATTATGTTATTTACATCCAAAAACATGAATTCTGGCGACTGAAATCGAGTGCTTCCCCCCTCACCAACCATGAAGTTTTTTGGCCTAACGCATATTTTTCTTAGCCGTCTGATCATTGAAAACATTATCGAGGGTGCATCATCGAAGATTAATCGATAAGGGGAAGGAAAACTAGCGAAGCTGGCGCTGGTAGCAGTCCTTACATATTTCAAGTAGTACGAGTCGGGTAAAAATAAAAATATTGTTATTTTTTCTTGGCGAATGTTGTCCAGGGAAAAGACAAAATAATATTATAATGAGAATCTTACTTCTGGCAAAAATGAAAAAGCGTATACCGACAGCTTGTGAGTAAATGCACTAAGATGGCTAAAAATGCGTTTTGTCAAGACAGCAGTACGGTAAATGGGTTAGGACCCATTTTTATGGGAAGTACGGGTAGAAGCTGGACCAGGACATCTGCAGTACCATAAGTGATTGAGGTAATGCTGCACTTAGTTAACTGTTAAAGTTTTTCCAATTCGAAATTCCTAGACAGATCTTCTTGGGATGGTTGAGGACCTCCCACGTCTCTTCCCCTATCCCCAACATCTAGATAGGATTTCAGCTAGCTGTGGCCTCAAAGATTCTATGTGTTTGTAAACATCCCTGCCTTTTTCTGGCATTCGAACTCAGGGTTTCGGGACTGCTGTCATATCCTTTGGATGGCCTGTTCCTTACGGCAACAGACAGCTGTAGACATTCTCACGGAACTCATTCGCGTGGTAGATAAGCAGTAACTACTAGTATTTTGCGCATTCATCCGGCTATTGGTGGGCTTTTCATGGATTATTTTATAAGGTTACAAATGAGAGGAATACCATCCGATCCAAATAGTCTAAAAATATACCTTATGATCTTGTTTGGGTCGCCTCTAATTATAAGGTATTTTCTCCCTCATTCCAGCATGCCTTCGTGGTGTAACTGTAGCACACTCGGCGCGTTTCGAGAGGTCAAGGTTCGAGTCCCGGCGAGGCCTTTGCACATTTTTCACGTCTACTGCTTCAAGAATTCCAATGACTGTACAGTCTATAAAAGTAAAGCAAGACAGTTTCATCACTGAAGTAGTGTGCCTGAAAGTGTTCCAGTTCTTGAATGAGAATAAAGCATGATCGAAATTGTTCTTTCAGCTCTGTCTTGCTAAAGAGTGAATTACAAGTGCCTCAAGTTGTTGTTTAAGAATTTTGGATTTGTAACTGCGAAAAAACGTAAAATACTTCTGTGCTGTACAAAATTCTACACAGACGACTCTTCGTAACTTATTTTGCCAAGCAGATACGATCCTTTGCTATTGAAATTTTGCAGTTGCGTTTACTCGAAATATTTGCGATGTGTGTACCTTTTATCATTGCGATTTTTTGATTTCGCATGATAGAAGGACCGAAGATCTCAAACACATGCGTGTACAAGAACACACGGAAACCCTTGTTAACGGGAACAAATCTGAGAGTCAGTTGCTTTTAACAAAATTACGATGCCGCCTTCTTAAACCTTCACCGCTCTATCAATGGCTGAGCGATTAAAGATTCTCAATGCTGATAGTTCTTTTTGGGTTCGAATCCAGACGAATTCCCTGGTTGCATGGTTGGTTTTCCTCATGTGAATACGAGCTAATTTCTTTTAGAAATTCCTCCACGAGGGAATCACTTCTGCTAGACAGGTAGTCCTCAAGTATTTTGCAATTACTCGTAAAACCAAAAATCTAAAAATTTAAATCGCCAATCCGATTTGTAACATATTTCACACGTTTACACGCGTTTCATGTTTTTTCGCATGACCATTGAATCTAAGGAGTTTTATTCAAAATCTGCCAATCTAAAGATGTTTTTTCATAAACTCAATTTTAAAAAGTAACTTTAGTTTGGCTTTGGGTATTATGTATGAAACTAGGCATTTTAAGGATATCTGCTAAAGATTTGCTTTATTAGATTAATTTTATCGTGAAATAATTCTGCTAGCAATTTTTCGATAATGAATATAATACTATCTTAAAAAAATCATCAAAAATATCCGCAGAATATTTTTACTTCTGGAAAAATATGGACGAATATTGTTCAAATGAACTGGATGACTGAGCGTTAACTCGATCACGGAATTCAATGCTTACTGCTTAAAACTAATTAATCTAGAATTTCATTTTGTCTAATTTTAAATTTCATCTTTTCAACATCGAGAATCATTTAGATACTTTTAAAGTCTGAAATTTATGCGCTGCTATTAATATAGAAACGTTCTAAAAAGAAAGGGCGAACGCGCTCAGGAGGTGGGGAAATTCACGCTTCCGGTTTTTGAACTCCGTATCGAACGCGAGGTGAAAATAAATTCGCGGCGTGGTTCTGTATGTTTAACGATAGGATGCTGAGGAGAAAATTTCCTCCTCACGTTTAGGAGAGGAGAGGTGATTGATATTTTTCTCCTTTTTCTCATTTACAGGATGCTCTGCGGACGATGTTGACGCAGTACTTGGAGCGCTTTTCCCAGCTGGCTGGGAGTCTTATCAACTGCGGACCCGTTCTTAACTGGCTGGAGGTGAGCTTTTGCATTCTTACATTCCTAATTTTTCTGGAAATAAAAACTGTGCTTTTTCCAAACTACCGCCGCTAAACTACGTGATGCTGCGTTCAATAGTAACCAGCTGCTGTTAGAAAAACAAGCCATTGTTTTAATTAAAGTTTAATTTAAAGCACCACCACGGAAATGAAAGTAATGTAGCATACCAGTTTGAGCATCTCACAAATCCTTGGCTATTTTTATCCATGTACATATAAATTAGTTTTAAATAAATGAAAAATGTTACCTTTTATTCGAAATAATAAACCTGTTATTCTTTATTGAAAAGGTTTAAAGTTGCTGACTTTTTCCTTAGCTTAAAATTAGCTTTTCGCTATTTTATAAATTGAGGAGAAAGCAAAAATAATTGTTGATAATTACAGACCTAGCCTTGACAGACAGCTTTTAGGATTCTTCGACTTAATTCCATATTTGGTATGCATGAAACATCTTCACATTCATAAAAAATGTTCACCTTTTGTACTTTAGCAAGAGATGAGGATGAATACGTACTGTTGACAGAGCCGGATTTGGACTTGATAAGGCCCTAAGCAATTTGAGGTAAATAGCTTAGGGGCCTTTATAAAGTCTGTTATACAATATTTTAATACTATGTTCATATTATATTTACATTTGGGGGGGGCTAAGCTGTAGCTCGTGTGGCTTATACATAAATCCTGCACTGACAGTTGAACTGTACATTTTCAAACTATGCATCTTTATCCGAAAGTATTCGTGAAGACGGAAATATTTTTTCCATGAAACGATGGAACTTTTTTGACAGAATGCCAAAGTATGTGCATTACTTGGACTATTATAGTTCGAAACAGTTTCATAATACTAATTAAAGGTATTTGTTTCTTTCAGTATTCTAGTGCAAATAACTAAAAATGGCTTCTTTTTATAGCCATTTTGCCTTATCATGGTGTTAGCAGGTGAGCTTGACTCGTTATTGTCCTGCAGTAGGTTATCGGTATACATTTTTTCATTGATTGTAGTACAAAACACTGCCATCATCTGCCAAAACATTTCTTGTCATTTGCCGAAAACACTGCCAATTTTAGAACCAGATATGCCTGGTTACAAAAAGTGATGATGCAAAATACCATTTGCCAATTTAAAAATTTCAGTGACTTAAATAGAATACGAGATTTGCTATTTGAGGTTCTACAGAGTATTCGAAAAAGATGGTTACAGGCTTCACTTCATTACTACGTTAAATATGTAGGATTCTAGTTGTCTAGAGGTTGCTTTGTCATTCGACCAGGGTCTTCTAGTCTAGTCCCTGCTAGAATGACAAAAGAGTTATCGGTCCAGTCTGAATTAAGATGACGAAGTCTTGAGAAGCTTAAACTTTTTTTTTTTTTTTTACTAAATCTTTAAGTTAAATAGAAGGCACTGCTTGTGCATACAAATAACCTCCGCCACTTGCGGGTGTTTAAAATAACATAAGTTGAAATTCAAATTCAAATAACGTATTGAGACTACACAAAATAATCTTTTTAAGTTGGCTCAAATATTTTAACGGTGAGTTTTTACCGTCGGCTAGCAAAATGGCTAAAGCCGGAATATTATTTGTTAGACCCGGATATAGGACATAAATTGCAGGCGAGGCTGCCAAAAGCTCTAACTGTTAAACATTCAAAACCCTCGAATTAAATATTCAAACAATGAATTTGCATTCTGACGAGGACTAAGGAAAGGAGAAGTTACAGTAAAGATTTTAATCACAATAACTGGTTTTTAATTAGTCTAAAATACCTAATAAATACAAACTGTTGCTTTTGCTCTTTATTTTTCTGAGCTTGAGATATTACTCAGAGAAGATCGACGAATTAATTGTGTCCAAGAACGAGAAAATCTAACATGATGAGACCGAAATACAAACTTCCAAACGTACACCTTCTTGGAGCCTTCGCGAAATTATTCGACAACGAGTTTACTGAATTATATAACTTTTCAATAATTAGAATCCAACGCAATATCATGCTATATCATTAAGAAGGATCTAAAAAACAAAACCTCGCCCTGTTGATTTATGACTCCATTACCACTCGTCGTTAAATTTGTAACCGGCCTCATGAAACTATTATTTATTTATAGCTTTCTGAACCTTGAGCAAAAAGGGCATTGAAACATTTTTATTCAACTTATTAAAGGATAATGAGTATTTTGCTAATAAGAGATTTTGCTAAAAGCGTATATAAAATGTTAAATTTTATTTCCACCATCCTTCCAGTTGTTGGTTTGAAATTTTTTTCGTAAAATTCGTTATCATTTTCATAAAATTTTGTAATTGGAAGTACACGTCTAGAATCAATATTTATAAAGCATAATGACTGTTTTAACAATCAGAATTTTAGCTCATAATGGAACTTACACAAAAGTTTACATTTTATATTTACAATGTTGTACTTACTTACAAGGTTGGAAATATTTTTGTAAATTTCTCTGCTCATTTTGAGAAACTTTGAAATCGTAAGTGCCATATCTAGGGTCACATTTAAAGAAAGAGGAACATTTTTATTTGCAGTTTTACTTTAAATCATATTAATCTCATTTGCAAATTAATTAACATTACACCTTAAAGTATACCTTAATAGCAAAATTACGGTATGATAGCAGAAACGCTGTAATTTCCTTAAGTATTATACTTCTAATTTTTATTTCGTAGTTTCTCTTTGAGTTGATTAAAAATGTGATTTGTATGGATCATAAATACCGAAAACTGCAACCCTTCCATCTTCAACACTTTGTGTATTTCATATTAGAAAAGTCGAAGAGAAGAAAATGTGTGTGCCATAGACGTATTCAACTGATCAATGCTTATTAATGTATGGCAGTGTTAAATAGTGGTTTTAACCGAAACGTAGTGCACAGTGAAATTTTTCATTAATTTCATAAGTTGAATTATTTTGTTAACTTTACTGTTCAATTGTTGCGCAAATTTGTTATGTTGTAAAATAAAACAATAAAATAATTGATCCACTTTCGTTTAATATTTATATAAAATTATTTATTCATTATTTAATTTTATTTAATCTTCGTTTAATCTTATCGCCTATGCATATACCACTTTAGATTTGAATTTATTCCCTATTTTTCAAATCTCCCATTTTCATTCCCGATTAAAATGTATTAATTTCTTATTTATAACTTGATATAATATCTTTCATAGTTGGACAACAGAGGTAATAGGCTTATAGTTACAGACGAAGCAGCAATCAACACACCTGCTGTTGCTGCTGCTTATGTGATTAAGAGGTATGCATCCCAAGCTTCAGATGAGATCTCACTCGAAGTAAGTATGAGCAAATGTTACTTTTGTAGTTCGTTTTCTAAAGCTGCGTTCAGACGACGGTATAAGGGGCATAAGTGGTTTAAGCAGAGCTGCGTTGCTAGGCAACCAGTCTGTGCTACGTCACAAAACCTGGTTTAGGGCTCTTGGTATAAAGTTCGAAGTTTTCAACTTTATGCCGACTTGGGATAAGCGCCGACCAATCAGAACAAACGCCTGAAACCTGAATGGGAAAACAGAGCGGGAAAGTTGTAGACACATCCAACGCATGCGCAGATTTTTAGCTTCTCTAAGTGGGTGCGGCTTAGACCCTGTGTCGCAGGTGTGAATGGAATTCCCGCATTTCCGTCCCGCGTCCGCGTCCTAAGAATCTTGCGACTTTGCCTTGGCCGTGTTGGTTTTCCGTTAGCGTGTTGAATCATTATTTCCGGTTTAATAAATTTGTTAAATTTTTGTTTAATTATTTCTTTATTCATTAAAAATGAAAATACACAATTAAAAACTGAAACCAAGATCCTTATAGTGACAGTATACAGCAGAATGTATTTATGCCTTCAGTTGAGAAAATCTTATAGATGTCCACTCCTAATGTATTTGGGGAAAACATCAAGAGTGTTAGTTAAGAATTAATGAGGGATTAAGAAGCTGAACTTGAAAATACCAATGTTATTCCCGATTGCTTGAACGGTCTTAGTACCTAATGGATTAATCCAACTCTTAGCGAACACGACATCAGCCAATATTGTTTCTGAATAATAATTCATTTGAAAGTTCACAAAATTTAAGTCATGTCTGCCTGAAAGAAAGTACAGTGTAATCTCGATTCACAAATTTAATTCGTTCTTGAAGGACGTTCGTAAACCGGAACAATTTTTGTCTGTAAGAAGGTAAAATTTATTAATTCGTTTCTGGGTCACAGATGCCTGCTTATTCAAATTTTGAAACAGTACTTGATATACAAATTTTATAAACCAAAAAAGTTCATAACTAAAAACAGAAATCATGAAATATAAAACGAGAAGATAATCATAATATCAAGCATATGAAATAGACGAAAACTTATATTTTCCTTTATTGTACCTTTTGAAGGAGATTATATGACGTAAGTTGAAAATGATGAAGTGTCTGTTATAGACTAGATGCGATTATATTATTGCAGTTATTTTTATATGCTCTTATTTAATATATTATTGCTGGTATTGTTTATATGCATATATTGATTATATGCTGTTAATGTTTAGCTGCGATTATTATTGTTAGATGTTAGAAGATACTTTCCATAAAATCATCAGGTAACTGTTTCCATCTTTTCTTTGTGTCTAAGCGTCACTGCACTGGGACTCTTCCTTTAGACTCAGCGGGTCGTTGTTTCATTTAAGATTCGTGAGACGTGATTTGCTGTTGCCTATGTTTTAAAATGCTTCTGAATTGAGACCAGAACTGGATTAACCATTATGCAAAATAAGCAGTTATGCGATAGAATATATGATACAGCTTAACCAATACGAAAGAATGAGTGGACAGAAAAAATGGCGTAAATGTATATGGGGGCATCAAAGTCTTAATCCAATCCATTGCCACTGAAAATGCTTATTCTGATTTATCTGAGTGATATCGTCAACGAAAACTTTGCATCTTACACCCCATTTTGTACATATTTCTCGGATCGGAGAACTGGGATCACTTTTTTTTTTTTTTTTTCTTCTTCGGCTGAAGACCTTTCACCCACAATCGCCTTTTGTTGCTTCTTCTGAATCTTCTGAAGTTATAATTCTTTCTTGTTGAGCTCATTTTTATGATCTTCTAATAACTTCGCCGCGTCTTCTTTGTAAACCTCCTAGCTCACGGTCTTGCTTACAGACACGGTATAATAGATAACTTAAAAAGTTCGTATCAAGGCGCTCAAAGTCTCTGCCTGCAACTTAATTTAGCTAGAATTTCTTTCAAGCCAAATTCATGGTCCCTACGGCCCACCAGCGGCCGAGCGGTAAAGTCGCTGAACACTGGTAGTTCGGTCCGAGGTTCGAATCCCGCGAACGGGCTGGCTGCATGGGTGTTTTCGTGGTTTTCCCCATGTGTAACGTGTATACGAGCCAGTTTCCCTTAGAAAGTCCTCCACGAAAGGCATCCCTCCCCTTAGGCAGATAGCCCTAGTGTGCTTTGCCGTAATTAAAATACACATACACACACATGGTCCCTACGAGTCCCTTGCTGCCAGACTTTGTAAAGGGAAATATTGAGAAAAATAAAAGATTAAAATAGGCAATAAAAAAGGTAATGGAAGGTTTGTAAAGGGATATGGTGGAAAGGTTAAATACTGGAAAATATTAAAAAATAAAAGGATGTTTCCAAAAGTCCTTGAGCGTTAAGTATATGGCATAGATTATCTCAGAACATCGTTGAACATTATATATTGCGAACTCTAGACACCTTTCGTCATCCGAGGAGTTTCTTATTCAAGTAGTTTGTTCATGAATTGAATTGTTCGTTAATTCAAACGCTCATGATCCAAGATTCCATTGTATATATTAGTTTCATGTCATGAGTTTGATAACAGCAAAATTAACGTCCTTAAAATGTTTTATGATCAAAAGCGGCATTTCAGAATAAACAATTAAACATCCTGAGGATGCTAGAAGACATCAGATATGAGTTAGAACTATCCTGAGCACATATGCTTATACGTAATATGCTTATACATTTGCTCATACGGGTAAGTAATTCGCTCTTTTAAAGAATAGTTGATTACTGTTCAAATAATTTTGAAACACACGAACTTTTTTTTAAGCCCAAAGGGGCGTTAAGTCTTGAAACAGCATTTTGCTGTTTCAAAAGCGCTGAATCACTTTTCAAATTGTTGCCACCAAATATTATCTCCCTGTATTAAAGAAATAAAATAACGAAGAATGTGTATGAATGTATGTATGTTTTTGCATTATGAAAAAACAACGGTACCTAGAGTCATCAAATTTTGTATAACATAATCTTTCACCAGAATATAGACACCTGGAAACGTGAATTTTGAATTTCGAATTTATTATGTATTTCATATTTTGTAAAAACTTAACGAATTTTTGATTAAAACACTCAACGATTTCAAACCGAGCAGTGGCAACACTGTACGGAATAAAACATTTTTATCTTCAGTGCGCGAGGTGTATCGGAAATTCTAAAAATATACTGTTTTTAAGTATTTTCAGCACAAAGTGACGTTAGCCCAAATGTTCTTGAAACGTATATGTGTCCGCAAATGAAAAAAAACGCCCGTTTGGACGTAATATCAAATCTGAAAACTTTAATTTTTAAAAGAAAGTTTTCAGATTTGATATTACGCCCAAACGGCGTTAAGTTAAGTTATAAAGTTTTGAATTTCTTCTGTAGCATAAATAATGTCAAACTCCTAAGAGACTTTGAGCGAATTATCGCTATGCCTGAAGTAACAACAGAGACTTGAAAAGGTTTAAAACAACCTTTGGTTAAAACAGAACTTGAACATAACAACCCTTCTTGTGCTTAACAGCATCAACTGCAAGTAACAGTCAAAATCAAATTTAAAACTAAGCCTAGAAGTCAAAGACTTCATAATTGTTTTTCAATTCTAAGTTGGCTCAGAGGTTTTCGCCGACATAACGATTTAAATGTCGGCAGCAAATATGTAAAACCAAAGAATTTACAATCTTACCAGATCTAACGAAACTTAGTACCATGACCTCAGAGGCAGACAAACGCTCTGTCTTACAATCCAAAACTATCGACTTAAATACTGTCTAACTCATTTACATTTCTGGTAAAGAAACGGGAAAGAGAAGTTATAGTAAAGTTCTAAATCATAATAACTCGGCATTACTTTCTATTCATTAATTAAAATAATAATAACCGTACAAAGTTTATTCTAATAAAGTGTTACTTAAAAGTTATTAATTAAAAATTAATTTATTCCGTTTAAAATGTTAAATCAAAACAAATTAGAGGCATTCTGATCAGAAAATACTGTTTCTGTTTTAGCCAATAAAATTAGTGCTTTAAAATACTAACTTAAATTTTTTTAGAATAATTTTATTTTTTCAAATGGGAAACAGTTTTAATTTATTTCTTTTAAAACTCTAAATCGTAAAAATATTTAGTTAACAGCATACTGAGCTGACGGTTAAAGATGAGACTTCTTCGCATATCTCAGCTAAAGCAATATTTAAAAAACTAGTATCTGAAGTAAAAAAATACGTGAAAAACAAATTATTCTACTCGCTTCGATTGTGCTACATCTAAAGAATTCAGTGTAATAAAAGTTTTTATTTTTCAAATGCTATGACTCTGAAACCGCAAGTATATAACATAAGAATTTTTTTTTAATTTTAAATTTATTTTTAGAGATCTTCACCGTACCATTATTGCTGTTGAATATTTTTTAATGATGCAAAATAAAAATGATATAGAATCTTATGAGATTGTTAAGATTGTTTAGATCCATGAACATGCATGAATCTTACGCTTTCAGCATTTTCTTCTTTGCTAAGGCTAACTACTAATTGATTTAATTACTCCGTCATTTAGCGAGGCTTTTTTTGTGTTCGTTTGTCGATAGATGGCGCTATTCAACCGAAACTCAAATTCAGAGACGGGGGAAAATTACGTGAAGAGAATGTATAAACGTGTGAATGAAATTGCATTGTAATTTTTTGAACAGTGCAGTTAAATTTAACGACAACGCAGTCATTGCTCCTTATTTTAAAATTAAATGCCGTGAAAAATGATTTTTTTCTTTAACTAGTTAAAGCAGAGCTTAGTTAAATATAAGGCTACTATTATCCATTATTATTTGGAATATTTATCATTCATGCGGCTTGGAATAATTGTCATTCTGAATTATTTAAGATCTTTTACTTACTTTCTTTACATAATGGCAGAAAACGATTTCATACCATATTAATCTTTCTGATTATAGTTACATTTCATTAACAAACGGAGCAAATCGAAGGTAAACATCTTAATGATTTATAACTTTTTCCGCAATTTTAATAATATAGCTAATTATTAAAATAATTTATATTTAACTGATATAATTTGTAAGATAGCCAGTTATAATTTTTATGAGTATGATTATAGTTATAAAAGGATATTTCTAATGCGATGTATAATATTTATTGCTACAAAATAAAAACCTTTTTTCTGTTGCAAATTCTGAAATATAAAGAGCAAAATGTTTGATATAATTTGTAAGATAGCCAGTTATAATTTTTATGTGTATGATTATATTTATAGAAGGATATAACTAACGCAATGTAGTATAATATATAATGCTACAAAATAAAAACTTTTTTTCTGTTGCAAATTTCTGCAATGTAAATAGCAAAATGTTAAACTTGAAGCTTCTCTCAGCTTAAAAGGCAGAGAAACACATACTTTTTAAAATTAATACATGGAATTTGATTATCTAATTCTGTTAACAAGCTATAATTTTTTTTTTTTTTTTAATATTATGTACCAGCTATTACAGTTAATATTATTGTACATATCATACAAGATTTCTAACTAAATAATTTAGACATTTCAGTTAATGTCCAGGAAAAGTTGAACTATCTGGAAAACTCGTGAAATGACGAGTTCTGGATACCTGAAAATTTCATAGTTGAGCTTTTTTTTAATATTATATATATATATTATTATTATTATTATTATTATTATTATTATTATTATTATTATTATTATATTATTATTATTATTATTATTATTCAAATTATTATTATTATTTTAAAATATAAAAAAACGGTCATTTGATTGTTGATTACCAACTCCAATGTGTATGTATAGTATATACATATTTTTGACTGTATAAGTATGCTGTTGTGTAAAAATGCTGGTGTAAGTGATGATTGTTATATGTATAAAAATGCTCATGAATACAGTATATAAATAGTAATCATCAATGTAGTGTCGAAAGATTTTGAAAATTTAAGCAAACAGTTTTCTTTTTTCTCTATAAGTTAATGTTATAAAAATGCTTTTAAAAACATATTCAGTCCCTGATTACAATGCAAAATGTGTACAGTTATAAAACTGAACGAAGCTTTTAAATTTTCAGGTAGGTGACATTATTTCTGTGATAGACATGCCACCTCCTGAAGAATCTTCATGGTGGAGAGGAAAAAAAGGATTCCAGGTGAGAAATTTTTCTCTAAACTGAAAAAAAAAAAAATTTAATTAATTTTGCATCTGCTTTACTAATTATTTATTTAATTAATGACATATTGTAGAAATATTTTTAACCACTGCAAATCTCCTATTTAATATTTCAATGAAAATTATCTCATGCGTTTTAAAATGTCATTTTATGATGATCAGTTCAAGCCTATTTTGAAATCACAGTACACTTTTCAAATTTTATATTCTTTTGTAATATAAAGAAAACCTTTTCCTAGAAATTTGGGAGTATTTCCTAGAAATTTGGGAGTATTATTATTCAGAGGTCTCACAGTTAACAAAGATAATTACTGTGCTGATATTTATAAATAATAATGGAACCCTTATGCATGAAACTCACAATTCAAGTGCCGGAGAATCTATTCATGCTTATGATCATTAAAATATCATTAAGGAACATAATGTTTCATATTTTTGGTCAGCATGCAGAAGGCTATTCCAATTTGAAAGATGCATTCCAAATAACGAATAATTTATGTAGTTTGATTGCCACAACTTCATTTATTTATTTTTTCTTCTATATGTGGAGAAGGAAACATCACCATAATTTTAAGCTAAGTATTTTATCCAGTGATAGGAGATTACTTAAGATTTCAGTAATCACTTTTTCTTTTACTCCATTCATATAATAATTATTGTGTCTTTTTTGTATAGGCAGTTAAAATTTAGTTTGTATGTTAAATTAAACAGCAAGTATTTAAGAATATATATATATATATTGTGTGTGTGATATTTTAATGAGTAGGAAGAATCCGATACTTTAAGAGCTGTCAGTCGTCATGGCCGGGAAAGGATATTTTGATGTGCTGCAGCTTGAAGTCTATGTAGTTAGATAGATAGATGTATAAACCACAAACTTCCAGATGTAGCCATTTCAAAATATAAATTTATTCCATTCATAATTCACATCAGATCAATTTTGTAGATAACGGATTTATGCAATCATATTTCAATACATTAGTTTTTATGTACACTGATTTTAAAAGTAAGACGTAGGCATTTGAGAAGCGAAGCAGCACAGTATTAGCAGAGCAACATTTAAGGAAAGGAATGGAAGAATGACATAATTAATTCACCAACGGTATTTGATGCAATAGTAGGGACAAGCTATGATTCGTTAATATTAGTCTTAGTTACCCTTTTCAAGTAGCATTATATAACATAGAAAGATTTTGAATTTAAGACAAAAGGTTAATTTAGGGGGAGAACACCAAATCTAGAACGTTAATTTTGATGTCGCCAATTATTTCTTAAAACAGCCATCATATTTTGTTATATCTTATTTATATATATATATATATATACACTCACATGCAGAATTAAGATAATTTTCAAATTATGTCTGTTTTTATGAAAAATATTGAATTAAATGCACTAATTATGCCGCAGAAGAATTATGTAAATATTCGGAATCGAATACACAAGCGTATAGGTGCGTGTCTGCGGAGCTGTGATTGTGTGGAGATTAGAAGAGCACAAATGCTTTTCAGTGATTTGTGGACTTTTACACCTTAACGACATTCACGATGTTTTTCCCAAGAGTTGGGTAAATTTTTTAAGGTATCAGATCAAATGAGTAACCATGAACATATGGGTGACAGAATGAGATGGAGAATTGTCAGTGGACAAGAGCAGGCAAATCACAAGCGGAGGTTGCTACGGAGGTGTTGTCTGCAGTTTCAGGATGCTGTATCTATATCTAGAAGATCTGAACGAAGTCGATCAAAATCCACAACGGTGAATGAAAATCGTTATTTATTACGTTCACCGTGTATACTGCCACTGTAACCCGAGTTTCATTATCAACAGTTACGCAAAAGCTTCGTGAAGTATGCTAGAAGACCCACAGTTTGTATTCCACTTACTGCAGCATACAAGAGAGCTTGTTTAGCAGGGTGTGACAACATGCGCCTTGGACTAAACTTCAGTCGAGATTAAGCCTAGACATTGATTCTTGACGTACCTGTACCTGGAGAGAACACGAAACACAATACCGTCCCTCCCTCGTAAGGGAAAATGATCATTATGTTGGAGGGAGGTATAAGGGTTTGAATAGACATTATGTTTGATGACACAGTTAGTCCTGGATTCTTGTTAATGGATGACAGGGGTCATCCACATAAGAATTAACTGGTCGACGATCACCTGGAAACAGGATATTCGTCACATGGATTGGCTAGCCAGATCTCCTAACCTTAACCCTATACAACATGTTCGGATCCTCTTTGGAGGGCAATTTCATCTTGTCATCCCATCCAAGAACCATTCCAGAGTTGAAAGCAGCCTTGCTGCCGGAGTGGGATCAACTGCCACAGGGACTCTTCAACTGCCTCCTGCCCATTATGCCGTCACAGCATGGGACTTATCTGGCTGTGAGAGAGGACCATATCTTATATTAACCTCATTTTTAATTCAATATAACAATATGGATTTTGGACATCCCTGCATTATGAGCTTTACATAATCGGCCATACATAAATTGACATTTGAATGGTCCATCTCCATCTTTATTATAAATATATGTAAAATATAAAAATCTAGCTTTCAAATAATAAATTAATAGCTCTTTAACTTCCGTTTCATTCTAAAAATAATGGCGATAAATTTTTCTCCCTGTAGTTCTGAGGCACACTTACCAATGAAATCTGAACCCAACATTCTTTACATTAAAGTGTCATGTGATCTGAAATTGAATTCGTATAAAAGCTTAATGACGTTGCAACTCCCTCTTCTCCTCTTCGCTCCTCTCTTCTGCTTTCTGCTGTGTCGCTAGCTACACAAAGTTTACTTGCCTAAATTTGTCCATTGTTTAAGATGTAAACTGAACAAAATAAGGAGAAGCATAGTGCACCCACAGTCATAATTTGCATTATCGAAATATAAAATTATGTGTGTTCGTCAAGCATCATCTTTCTAACTATGCAGCAAAGTCTTCAAGTTATGTTGCAGTCCTCTCCAATGCCAATCTGTTGTAACTTTACCCTTAACTATTAATTTATTATTTGAAAGTTAGATTTTATATTTTGCATATATATTCATACAAATTTCATTAAAATCTGTCCATTAGTTTTCAGAAATTTGATATAATGTAAAAATTCTCTTAATTTTACACAAGAGTCTTTTTCTTTCTACAGTCAAAAGTCGTTAATTCGGACACCCATAATCTGGACCTCAAAGCTACAAACTTTCTGCACATGCGTTGCGTTGACGCATGCACGTAAGACCTTTACGACAGCGCATATGCATTGAGCATGTATAATCGTACGCATGCACATTAAGGTAAAGGACGGTATAACTAAATTAATCTATTCAGTTAATGTTGCAGATTCGTTGTTCCTTAATCTTGAATTGATCCGGCTATTATTTTTGCAGACTGTCAGAGCAATTTATAAAAGTAAGCTTGCTTTCTATTATGTCAATAGAATTTCCGATATATATTACTAATATGTAAAGGTCACAAGCGAAAGTATGTTTCGATGTCTGTCAACAAAAAGTGGAATTGCTGCAAAAAATGGATAAATGCATATCCTTTGTTCTCTACCATTCAAATCTATTTACAATTTCAAGCTGCTCTGCGGGGGGGGGTGTCGCCGGCGAAAAACTGAAATGATCTCTCGCACTACCTAGCTCAGGCAGATGTTTTATTTTTTCAGCTTAATTCCTTACTAAATGGTATTCTCTCGATGTATTCCTCTTGATATGATTTAACAAATCCTCTCATATAATATAATATTACACATCAAAAGTTTCGGTTGCAATTTTAATTTCGACATGCATAATGTATGCTTTACGCTGCACGTGTTGAAAGAAATGTCTAATAAAATAAACAAATAAATATTAAGCTTTTTTTTTTAAATTTTGATACCCTTTAGATCATAATGGCTCTTTATTTTATAAATTATGGTTCATGTTTTTAATTTTATAATTTCTGCATGCCATCGTACCAGATTTAAACTGATGATCTATAATCCGGAAAAATCGATAATCCGAAATCGCCGAAGTTCCGAAGAGTCCGGATTAAAGACTTTTGACTGTATATATAATATGTTATTATTATTATTACAAGATAGTGTATCATATGTATAATAGAATGACCAATAGCTAATACTGTATTTTCTGAATCCCATATTCTCGGTTATGCTTTGTTAATTAAGCTGTTTTTAAAATTTATGGAAATTATAGTCTAATTTTATTAATGATTAATAGTATACTACTATGAGCAGGGTGTAAAGAACATGTTCTGAGAACTTAGAGGTTTTTATGCGATCCTAATCTTCATTTATCTTGTTTTTTTACTTCTTTGTATGGAATGAGGAAAGTATTGTTATCGTGAAAATTTCGTGGCTCATATTTCTACGGAAATATCCATTTTGACAGCTTGTGAATCCATTTGGATGAATTTTTTGCATGAAATCTGTACGCATAGACAGAATAAAGGACTTTTTTTTTTTTTTTTGGGTAAAATGGATTCAAGAGGGGCTTTTTCGCGTCATCTGTATGTACGTATATATGCATCTATGTCCTGACATAACTCAAAAACGACTAGCTATAGAACTTAGAAATTTTGTACATGAGCCTGCAGTAATATATATATGAAGGTTTCCTTTCCGGGATATTTTCAGGAATAAAACTTTATTCATTTTTCCTACCTTTACTTTTGGATTTTTTATCATTTTACAATCTAGCAGCCTACATGCAGATTCATCTTTTTTCT